TAAAACCAAAGAAGAAAAAAAATTAAAAAAAAAAAAAAAAAAAAAAAAAAAAATTGTCGAAAATTGATCTTTCTTTACATTAAAAATTCTAGAAAATTCAGTTGTACAAGTCTATTATTACATTACAAGTAAAAAAAGGTGAGAACTATTTATGGATGAAATTTGAAAATATGTGGGCCTACCTCTTGTCATACCTAAGGAAGGATAATACCATAGGCATCTTTCAATGTATGTAGTTAAGAAGTGACAATCAAAATTGACATTTTGGTGGTAAGGAAAGCAGAATTGGAGAATTCCGTACGTTTGCTATTGGCAGAAAAGATTGATGAGTACGACATGCACCATTCAAATCCATTATCAAGGATTCGTTTGATTCTCATTATTGTAAATTAAGAATGAAAAATATAGTCGTTATTAGACTCCACACAAGAGATAGAAATTCAAAATTGATGGCTTGATTTGATGGATAGCAGTCATGTTTTCATTCTTATGGATGAAAAATGAGAAACAAACGGAAGCTAAAACTTTCAATTAAAATCAACATTTGCATCAAGGAGTCTATTTCAATATTTTTGTTGGCCAATGGTCAGTCCCGCACAGATGAGGAACAATGAAGCAACCTCCGACAGTGCACAGATCATTACACATTTTATGCTGATCGAAACTTACCATAAAGAAATTTCGCTACTATGATTTTGATTGTCCATTCCCCTATTATTTAAGTAACCAACTTTCTTGAACCTTACAAGATACGAGGTCATTCTCACCATACTCAAATACCTCTCCTCGTGATACCATAACCATAATCTTTGCCTTTCTCAAATCCCTTCATATTACACTTTAATCTGTGGCACAGATGTCCATTTTGCCGGAGAAAGATTCAACTTTTACGAGGCTGCTTCTTCAAAAAGTTCAGCCTTTACCACTATGAGCAAAAGATGCACTAACTCGACACTGAGATGGAGACCACTGACAAATTCCTCTTTTTCCTCAAGTGTCATCTATGTTTTTGCAATGCTTTCCTACTCAGCCATTTAGGTACAAGAATTTCAGCCAACAAGATAAGTCCTGATAAACAAGAGACAAAGAGATCTTTGATCATATGCATGATGGTCAAATCGCCCCACTCATCATCCATTTACACATGGTGGACAGCATATTCCACATATAAGTTACTTATTTTGACACTATTAACATTACTTTTAAAAAGCCAATTTTTTACTTACTTTTCATTTTTAGAAGTAACGACAATAACAAACTAAACCTCAATGTTGTTTCTAACAGTGTGGTGAGATGACTTCAGAACTAACAATCTGGGAACCTAGATTTCCATATTCATTTCTTCTTCTCTGCTCATTCTCCACTTCTGCAGAATATAAAGAATGTAAAGCTCTACGAAGGAGAAAGTTCTTCCACAAATATATTTTCATTATCATTGTCCTTAGCCCACAACAATAGAATAAACAAGAAAGCACGAACCCACTTAGAAAATACTTCCGTAAAACATAAAACTTGAAACGACCAAATTACATCACAAATACGTTACTTTCACATATGACCTCTAGTGTCCAATTAACTATTAAACTGAATGACGCAGTTCAGTGTTATCAGCTCGAAGACGAAGCATGACTGGTTTGACCAAGTATTGATGGACCAGGACTTGGAGTTTGCTTTATTTCAAGACCTTGACTAGATCTCGGGCTTCTTTCGCTCCTTATCTCATTCAACCGGGGGCTATATGCTTTCTGTGTCAAACGTGGACTGTACATGGACCTCATTTCCTCCGATGGAGTTTGGGTGCAACTCGTAACTTTTGGGCTAGAGGCATGCCGTATCTCACCCCGACTTCTTGTCATAATATCGTCAAATATCTCACCACTATCAATATTGGTGGCTCTTGCCTGATTTACAGGATCCTGCAGATATGTAGAGGATAGAATTTAGAAGTGGAGAAAATGATCAAAGTTCCTCAGATCTGTATATAAATTAGTGAGATGAATAAAAAAGATGGAATTTCCCATCTTAGATTGTTAAAAATGAAATATTCCAACTTTAATGTCATCCGGATCCAAAAAGAATCAGCAGCATAACTTTGCTGATTTTAAGATTAGGTCATTTCTTAAAAAGAAAATATATTCTGGGAACTCTAAAACTATTACATGCATAGATGATACAACTACAAGGAAAAGAACAGAATGTAGTAGAAAAGAATTCACCTAGTTGACCCCGAATTTATTTGGAAAAAGGCTCAGAGATAATTTCCCTAAGCTTAAAAATAAGTAGAAGTTGTAAATTTTGTTTCTGAACATGAATGACCAAAGTCACCAAACCAATAAAATCCACTTCAGGGCAGACAATTTCAAGGCAAATCTTCCACATCAATTCTGCTTTTATTTTAACACGAGATAAATTCAATAGCAACTTACTTCAAAGGTTAGATTGTAAGTTATAGCCGGATATTCTTCATATTCTGCAGCATCCAAGTCCTGTAGATGGGCTCCTTTGAAAAACTTGGTAAGCAAATACTGACGCACCGGAACAAGAAGCATAATCAACAGTGGAAAAAGGACACCGGCAATTGGGATCCAAGTTATTCCAAAGCATAGGAGCAAGTAAGCCGTTTGAAACAGTGTGAAAAAGGCAATTGTTTTAAATGGAACTGTCTCCACAAAGGTTGCATGATACTCCTCTAACACCCTGACAAAATACAAGATTCAAAGAAGATATGCAGTTGCTCAACGAATAGCAATAAGAAAAAAGAAAAATAATTAGAAAAAAAAGTATAACACTGTTTAAAAGATTCTTTCTTTTTTCTACGGGCATCTTTTGTCTACGTTTTTTACCAAACATGTTTGAGGTTTTCTGAATGTTGACTTATATTTGAATTTTCTATAAAGTCTTACTTTTCCAAAAGTAAATCACTACCAAAAAATGTAGATTTACATTTTTAAGCTTAGCCAAACATCTTGCAAGAAAAACAGGTATAGTCTAAATTATTCATAACATAAAGTTTCACAAAAAGCCACAAAAGAGAGCCATTTCACGTTTGGAAAGGGAAAAAAGCAGCATTTCCTGAGTTCAAACTCATTTGAACCCATAAAAGTACGATTCAGTTTCAAAACTAAAGAACACAACTAAAATCGAACTTTCACCCACAAAGATTAAAGTATACTGACTTGTATCTTCGACTTGGAGCAGTAAAAAGCAATAATATCCTTTCCCAGAATTGATTTCCTGGCAAGCTTTCTATTGCCATGAAAGCAAAGTACCCCCAGAGGACTGCGGTTGGAATCTTCTTTAGAAGGGGCATAGCAGCAACACAACCACCAACCATGAATGCTTGAAGAAGATTGCTGATACGTTGTTCTTTAACTTCTACAGGTAAAAGATCATCGATATCCTTATCCACGTCAAAAACAGACTCATCAACTGGTGCATCTATGTAGCCACCACTTGAGGCTCGTTGAACTGTGGAGTCTTTCAGTTCTTTCAGTCCCTGATCATAGGTTCAAAATATGAAGAACTATGTGAATCTACAAAGATAGAAATAATTGTTATAAAGACATTTAAGATATAAATGTGTCCCATCTCTAACAGTTTAAGATCTTAAATGAGAGTTCAACATAGTATTAGAGTGCAAAGGTTCTGGGTTCAAAGCCTTTGATAGAATCCAGCCTGCACATTACGGAGGATGTTGAAGACTAAGCCTCTGTTTGGCTGCCAATTTATAAATGGTTTATAAATTCAATCAAAGTTAAAATAAAGTCAAACATTAATTTCAACCACACATTTATAAATACTACTCATTCATTATTCACACATTTCATGGGGACCCACTATTATTCCTCATACTACTCATCTTTAATGATTTATAAATTTGCCAAACGGATGCTAAATTTAAGCAAGTAAACGTGTATCATATGTAGCAGCTTAACTTTTAGGTGGGTCAACTATTTGTATCCACTCAAGAAACAAAGTTAAACAAATCTTTTTCCACAACATACCAGAGTAGCAGGAGTTTGGTAAACAAGTGGAGTCTGCATTTCATTGTAAGCTTCTTGCATATTCCTATACAACTGAGATAAATTTGCATTTATCTGCATGCTGCTTCGAGCTGTAGCTACAAGCTTATTTCGCAAAAGCTGTTTGAGTAAGAAGAAAATAAATGATAATATCATTCTCAATAGGAAACAATAAAGAAAAGGGCGATCTAATTTCTGATCTAAACTCATAGTGAAAGAAGGCCATCATAACGGAATTGATTGGAAGAATGGCAAAAATCATTTAGGCCAAATACAGAAAGAATTTTTTTTTGAACAAAATCACGAGAACGAGTGGTTTTGTTTTGTTNGCTTTTTGTATGCATTGGAGATTGTGGAATGACTCCATTGGATGGAGGAATTCCAATAAGACCGCATAATATGACCTGATCAGAGTATAAAGATACAGTTAGATTTGAGGGGGAAAGAAACTGCACCAAGTGTATGCATATACAAGTACATGTTTGTATGCATGTATATATGAGGCAAATTCAATTTGATAATTATGCACTTTGCAACTAAATCATTGGTTAAATCCAAATTCTGTTATCACATAGCTTACCAAGAAGCCCAATAGAAGAAGATCATAGTGGTAAGAAGAAGGCTTCTTTAGATTGAACTCCTTTTGTTGGGAAAGTTGAGACGCGACACTGTGATCAAAGTAGTAAAGTACAGCAATCATTGTGGCAGGAATAAATGCTCCAACAATATACAGAGGAGGCACATCCAACATTTCCTGTCAAAATCATCGGGATCATAAAATTGAACAGTTTTCAAATTTCAAACCACACTACCCGTTCATTCAATAGAGAATATCGCCATATTTTATAATATATTGATTTACTTATTCAATTCCAGGATCTCAGATAGCATCAATATACTAATACTGATTCTATTTGAGTTCTCTTCTTGTGCTGCTCTTCAAATGAGTGTTCTCTGCAAAGTAAATAATCAGAAAAAAACATTCCATTGAGTTATTCATGGTAGAAAGTTAAGTTGAAGCACCTTTATGACAGTCCAATTTGAGTATGCACCAGTAGACCATGGATTTGGGCTAAAAAGTCGCCGTGGTATCCCTTGGGGAACATCATTAACCGGGATGTAAGATACTCCTGTCCACACAAGCACCATAAATGGGACACCATAGTCGGCAATGAATCCCCGAAGCCATCCTTCAAATTACATTGAAGAGACAAAACTCAGCATAAAAGAAAAAAGCTGAGTTTTAACCGTTTATAGACAGTAAATAATCTGACAAACGTTAGAATTCAAAATACATGCATTAGAATACAATTCAACCATACATATGAATTGTAAAATATCCTATTTCTCATTTTGTAATTATTTTGCCTTACTACTAAACTAAAATTTCCCGCACCTGTTCCATAGCGCCAGGATCTAGCTTTACGGCTCCTCAATGCAGTTAAAAGAAGGCCAAATGACAGAACCAAAGCAAACATTCCATTTCCGAAGCGCCAGGAAGGAAGCAAAGCAGTCTGGCTAGAATTTCCTCTCCGAGGGATGCCAAACTCTTCCACAACGCCCTAGCAAAGAATTGAGCTAGTTTTATGATGTTTCTTAAGAAATTAGATGGCAGAAACTAGTAGAAATATTCACCTGTTAGGATTCATAGTTAATCATTGACATAATCAAACAAAATGCACTTATCCCTTTGATTTGGAGGTTAATTCAATTGCTATATATTAGCTAAACATTTTGATAGTACAAAGTTTCAGAACAATCATCAGGGAAGTTGACTCTTCAGTAAGATTTTCAGAAAATCATGGCAAGCAAGATAATAGACAAAACTGAATTAGTGCATATGATAATATGAATCTTTTGGGCTATCGAACATTCATAATGGCACTGTAACGGAGAAAAAGAAGGCCAAGTTTTTCAGTTATACTCACTCGAATAGCCTCCTGCATAAAGAGCATTGCAATTAGAAGGCCAAACAATTCACCGGCCAAGCGGGTAAAACGATTGATGAGAGAGCATGCACCCAAGATGGCCAGCAAGAAAAGCAAAAGTGCTGTCCATACGCAAACCCTAAGTACCGCAGTGTTAACATCAATAGCTGACATCAGATCTCAAGAGCATGTTTGGCTAAGACTAGAAAAGGTGAATGTACTTTTGTAGAGATTAAAGGCTCAGTTTTAAGAAAGTGAGTTTTTGAACTAAAAATCTCCAGGAAAAGAGTAAATTCTAAAAAAACTCAAATATGTTTGGCCCAAAAAATTAATTTTAGAGTAATCTTGGCCAGACATATACTTGGTCAATGTTTCAAGAAAGAAGAGAGAATACCATCCAGTCCATGCCAAGAATAGCTTCTGTCCCAAATCTTTTCGATCTTTTGCGAACTTGAACATGAAAGTGTACATTATAACTGTTGGTTCTGCTACACCTAATATGAGGAGTGGTTGTCCGCCAACAATTGAGTGGATCACACCACAAAGTGCTGTTGATGCAAGCGTTTGCACTGCAGTTAAGGTTCCATCTGCAATAATGGATCATTAATTAGCATATCTAAGCAAAATATCACATTAAAAGCATGTTTGGTTGGGAGGATTGAGTAACTTTTCAACCATATTTCATCGACTTTTATCAATATCTTCTAAATTTTTGTATAAAAACTTTTTAAAACAAACCATGAATAAAAAAAGCTAAAATCTTGTTCATTATACTATCATATTCCCGTGCATACCAAACATAAACTAAAGAAGAGACAACAAAAATGTAAAATTTCAAGAAATAAAAGTCCTACCGGTATCTCTTTCAAGTTGCTCTCCGAAAGATATAACAGGAATTGCTGATGCAAAGAATATATATGTTGTCGGAGCCAGGATCCTTCAAAACAACATAATGATTTTAATTACACATTCAAGCTAGGATAAATAAGAGCTAAAGAATTCTGCACTTTGCTATTTATTTTGAGTAACAAGATAATTCACTAGAATGATGTTAAGAAGGAAGAGCATCAGGATCAAATACTTCTTGTCATACTAGTCCTACGAGAACAAGATAAATCATTTACATAAAATAAAACATCTTTCTGAATTTACATTTGACACAAGGTAAAAATCACAAACCTTATACCTGCACGCAGTCCACCGCTCCAGTCTTGTTTGTAGCATAGAAGCCTTCTTTTAAGATCATTATTAATTCCACGGAAGGGGACGAATGTTTCTTCCATTATAACCCAAAACACAGGTTTTTTTTTAATTGTTTCTTTTTTTCGGACAAATGAGAAATTGGAATGACGCTAAACTGGGAAACAAACTCGAAGGGACTGAGGCCAAACTCAATATAGATATGCATATGAAAGAAGTATGGAAGTGTGGGCAGAAAGACAAAAGTACTTGATCATTCATAAAAATTCATAAGAACACTGAGTAAATATTCATAAATTATCTATACTTTGAGACCATTTTATTAGGTCAATGAATAAATTTGTATGTGGAGTTTAAGAACTTTACATTTTCATTTGAATCTAAAAAGAATAATTTCAGTGTCCGGAAAAAGAACAATAGAACAGGTTAGCAATGAATTACAATCAGATTAAGGATAGAATTCTAGGTTCAACCCTCCAAAATTTTTTGTTTGCCTAGTTGGATTGATGGTATATGTTGAAAAAGACAACATTCTAACGAAATGAATCCATTCCAAATCGAGAAAATTTTTTACATCTGCCAAGAACTAAACTAACGGTTGATTTCGATAAAGGTCAGATCCATTACTTTTTAACACCTTTCTTACATTATCCCAAAAAGCTTCCTACTCATTAACAGCTTTTCACAAAAATCAAAGAGAAAAATTCAAAAAGAAGGCTCGAGATCAATTACATGATAAGGTGTTAGAATATCAAAACTTTCAAGATTTTAGTAGAGTTTCAAAGTTTAAAATCTAAGAAGCTAATGATTAACGAGATCCCATTTTTCAAAAACTCTATTTCACTACTTCAGAACAAGTTCAAGAAAATGGGCATATCCAAAGCACAAAGAAAACAAGAAATGCGAATAAATTAGTTTTGAGCAAATGGGCATTAAAAATGAGCAGAAAAACTACAAAAGATTGTACCTTTTTTGAAAAGTTACATTACTGACTACTGAGAACAGGACTTTTATTCAAGAAACAGACAGTTCACATTACATTTACACACTGCAAATCTTACAATGGCTAAGAAAAATTGCAAGAAGGAAAGTTGAAACGGATTTGTTGGACAGGTTGCAGAGAGAGAGAGACGGGGGGATGATTGGCGTGGGCGAGATAGATGTTGGATTGATGAGTAAGCATAAATAACTCTTTCAGCGGCCCATAACAGACAACAAAAAAATAAAAAAATAAAAAGAAGATGATGTATTGAGAAACAGAGTTGCAAGATTGAAATTATTATTTTTGGCCAATGTATGTAAATGTGTAAATGGCTCATTCGCCCAAAATCTCCCTATCTTTGCTATACTGGGAAATATCCTTGTGTCCTTTTAACAGTTATATGACTTTTGAAGTGCGAAAGATCTCATTTTATTTTATTTTCTCAATAAATTATTTATATCCTCTCATTTAAATAGAAGAAAAAGAAAAAAAATATATATATAGAACTCCTTTTCAGCCGTAGTCCCAATCAATTTTCATCTGCGTAGCTCATTCTTTGGCTTTTCTTTTTGAGTTTTTAGGTGAAAATTAGTTCTTTTTTTCTTAAATAGAATGATATATTGTCATTTCACAAGATTTGTTGAGAAAATGGAAGAAAATTGGGTCTGCCGCACCTCAAAGGTGGTCATACGGATAGATTTTCAGTCAATTTGAAAGGATGAACGGTATTCCGTAATAGGTCCAAAGGATGAAGAGTTTTGCGCCCATAAGCCTGTGTAAATTGTAGTTGTGTTCGCGTGTAACTTATGTAGACAAACTATACACACTAAACAGATGCCACTTACCAGCGAGTCCAGGCCGGATTCTACTTTATTATACTTCAGTGATTGAATTTATGAACCTTAATTTTAGAGTCAATTGATTTAATAATCACCCAAGTTATACCATCATCACATACTGCTCACTAAACAAGTTATGCTTCAGAGTTTCAGCTTCAGATTGAAACCCATTTTTTGCACAACCAACGTTCGAATTAGAAAAATGATATTTTTAAAAGAATCATTGTGGACACTTTATTGAATTTTAAAGAAGTTGATGGGCCGTTGAAGTCACGTTTCACATGTGGTGATTTTGGTGAGTTAATTTTGTTGAGTTACAATTTTTTTTTTTTTTTTGTACATTTGTAACTTATCACGTGCGAACATTAGGAATGAAGGGAACAAAATATAGCAGATGATGAATGGAGTGCAACATCTCAAAGATGAGTGACCATTACAAAGCATTTTGAAATTCGATGAGTAAATTGTGACAAAGTGTAAGTTGGATGAGTAATGAAATAATAGTTTGATTGAGTTGTCATTTTTTTAACGACCGTTACTGGCATGTCAGATTTTTGTTAGCCACGTCATCGAATAAGGTAACGGATTTTTGAGAATGATGGACTGAGTGCAAACGGACAAAATTCAGTGAACACTGTGAAGTACTTTAAAATTTAGTGAGTAGTCCGTGATCATGATATAAGTTGGGCGATTATTAAAACAATTGACTCTTAATTTTAGCACAAACTAATTAATTTCCAAATGTTATTATATTTTGAGGGAACTTAAACTTACCATGTTGTTCTCTTCTCTTTAGTCAACTATGGACGTCCTTTTTGTTACGTATGCACAAAAATTTAACAACAATTATGAGCAATATAAAAAGTAATAATTTAGTCAACAATATATTATAATCCTTAATAATTAACTTTTCAATTAATTATGCGTCTAATAGTGATTGTTTGAGGGAGTCTTAGGATTGGATCATAGCCAAAATATCGATATTTCATTTATTAATTTACAAATGTAAACTAAACGAATAAATTGTACCAATGTTCCCATACTTGACAATTTATTCCTTTTTATAATTGTTTTGCCATGGAGTTTTGAATAACTCATCCCCCTCAGACTTTCTAGCCACTGAGAGTACGACACCTCTTAAATTAAGTATTCATGTCGTTAAGCCCCCTTTCCCTTTCCCTTTCTCATTTATTTTTCTTTTTCAATTACACATTCTCTAAAAAATAACATTCAAAACATTAAAGAAAGGAGGCCAAACGGGACTAAATGGCATGTGTTTGTTGGCTAATAAATTCCATCAAAGAGTCCCCCACCTCCTTTCCTTCACAACACGGCTAGATGCGTGGGAGCCAATAATTATCTAAGGGGTTTTTGGTAAATTACAAGGTGTACAAGTCGATTTAATTTTAGAGGTGAGCATTTTAGTTATAGTCCACATAGACGAGCATCTTTGCACCATATCAGGACGTCGTTGTATTCTTCATATCCTCTCTAGTTAAGTTGTTTGATTCTCATACACGCACTGATAAATCAGGTAGACCGACAATTTAAGGAAACGTGAATATAGGTAGGGGTGGGCGCGGGTCGGTTCGGTTCGGTTTAGTTTTTTTCGGTTCCAGAAATTTTCGGTTCTTTAGTAAATGGAACCGTCGGTTCCAAATATAATTTTGGAACCGTTCGGGTTCGGTTCGGTTCGGTTCCGTTCGGTTCCGTACTATAATTAAATTTTTTAATATTTAAAATAATACTACATAAATACACCTGAAAGTAGATACTAATATTAGCCCCTGTTTGGAGG